GGAGGCCAATGGTGAAGAGGTCAAGTGCTTTAGCAAATAAAATAAAAAACAAAATCTTTCCTTTTATTTTCTTCTCAATTTTTTAAAGTCTACGAAATTTTATTTTCTATATAATATTATATATATATATATATATAGAGAGAGAGAGAATTAGAAAAACTTAAATTTAATTTCAGGAAAAGTAATATAAATTATTATAAGAATTAAATGCGTCTAAATGGCAATCGCTTGATTAAAATATACAGTAATTTTCTGGAATTGCAGGTGGTGATACTTCNAATATCAACCTTATTATAATTTTATTTCATAATTTTTTATAACCTTCGTTGAGTAGCTGACCCAATTCTTCGGGTTTCAGACTACTAATGTTCTACTCCGTAGCTTTGTAATTTTGAACCCAATCTAGAAGACAAGGGAACTCCTGGATAAAGTAAAGGGAGAAATTTGCCTTCGTGGAGGACTTTTTGATGTAACTAACTCGCATTTGCGTTACATGGAGAGGAAAACCACAAAACCCTCCCATGGTTAGCCTAACCGCAAGGGGACTATAGCCCATGATCCGTTTTCTACTGAGGGTATTTTACGTCAGCACTGTGATCGGTGCAAGTCGGATGTGGAATTCGTATCGACCAGCCATTGCGGGGGTTCGAACCCGGTTCACCTCAATGGAAGGTGAACGCTTTCTCCCCTTAGTCATCATGGCTCAACCTTATAAGCTTTAAATTATCCAGTATAATATTATTACCTTTGGCACATCCACTTTCGGGCCAATCTAAGGTACATAACAAACTTTTTTTTAAAAAAAAAGAACCATTGTTATTCGCAAAATTGTACATTTCGATTCACAACAAAACAATCCTTAGCAATCTTTAAAATGATTATGCGTCCTACTTTTCAGAAAATTAATTAAAAAAATATTGATGCAAGGAGTAAATAGAAGTAAATAGAAGAAAAAAAATTATAGGAACAAAAATCTAATTTCTGTGCAAATTAGTGTAAAAATTGACGATATAATTGCAAAAACATCTTTAAAATTATTTCATTGATAAAAATGCAATTATCAAATGAAAAACAATTTTTTTCTGTACTTTTGAGAGAAAAATATTTTCCTCTAGAATTTGCGCGAATATTTAATGTCGAATATTTTGATTTTCCAATGACTTCTGGATACAAACTCAATACCCGACTATGATGAACTTGGACCCTGGTCATTTTATTATACATTTTGTGACCTCTTTAAACAATGTGCCGTTTTTAATTTTTTAAAACAAAAAGACTGAATTAAAAAAAATTCTCACTCTTTAAGAAAAACTCCAAAATATTAGAAATTTTTTTTAAAATATTACCTGTTCGTGCAAAAAAATATTTCTAAATTATGAATATTATATAGAAGTACTTTTTATAAACTGATAAGAGTGAGAAATATAGTAAAAGCATTGAAATGTTCATTAAGGTAATTAAAGTCAAATATCGATTCTAAATAAATATTAATTAAAGGTGCAATAAAAAGTGCATAAAATCACCTGATTTTGCAGCATGAAAACTGCTTTGAGGTTTGAGACGCTGAATAGTTGCCTTGAGTCGAGATTTCGGTAAAATTGTATCATCTGCGTTTATTCTATCCAAAGCATAACGAAACGCCATCTCCCGGTCATCATCAGAGCTCTCAAAAAGACCTCCTAAATGATACAAAAAGATACATTATACTCGGAACTTTGTTTCTTCTTTAACTTTGCAAATCATTCTTACCGATTCGAACAACTTCAGGTAATGAGGAATATAAACCTAACTGTAAAAATAGAATGATAGTAAGAAGAGGTACCATCTCTCTAAAGATCTCTCTTTCTTCTGGAAGGAATCTTGGGGTGATACGCAAGCGCCCCCTCACCACCATCTATCGGTGATTTTATTCACTACTCAATACCCACTACTTATTTAAAGTCAGAGGGCCTTATTTCACACACAACTTTTATTAAACATATTTTTCTTTTTTAATTATGTATCGATTTAGAAAAATATTATATTTAACATTTTAATAATTTATAATATATGGGATACAACATGAAATATCAATGTCTTTTTTGTATTAGAGGTTAAATGTTCCAAACGCAACTCACTTCCAAACAATAATTTTTCCAATTTGCTCTTACTTGCAGTTATTTAGATCTAAGAAATACTGTTATTCATCGTTGAAATTTCTTTAATTTGCAAAATCAATTGTTGATAAATTTTTGAAAGTGCATGAAAAAAAAATTAAAACTACTTTTTTTCGGATTTTATATTAGGGGGAGCGGAAAGTAATGTCGTTCCGGTGCATTAAATATTCGTTAGTCTTAACAACCAATTCATTTTTCCCCCCCCCCGATATATTTCGATTCATTTTCGATCCGGCATTGAAAGGTTGTTGCTAACAAGGGTGAATACATTATTGATTTAAAGTAAAATCTTGATAACAAATATCAAATGCACCGAAACGATATTACTTTCCGGTCTCCCAATATTTTAGTACAAATTTAATTCTGATAATCTAACAGATTTCTTAGTAACTATCAGATTATTAAAAACAATTAAAAAATATCAAAATATGTTTTTGTTTGTAATTAGAGCGTCAAAAAATATATATAAGAAGGGAACACCGGTGTTCCATCTGAGATAAATGGCTAAAAGATATTTCTAAATTTTATGAAGTTAAAATTTATATCTATGAGTTTCTAACAAAATTAGTAGATATTTTTAAGCGTAATGTCTGACAACTTTCCTCTAGAACGATTGAAATTTTTATGTTTTTTAAATGTTTTTAAATGTAAATTTCGGGAAATAGAAATTATATATATATATATATATATATATAAGAACANGGCTCAAGTATGCATTTAATTAAGAGCAGGACATTTTTCCCTTTGCTCTTGTGTGGGAAACGTTCGATCTATTTCATAAACCAATAGCAACTACTAAGAGTTCCCTCTTTCCCTAAATTAAGACATTTTACGGATTTTACTTTGCAAGATTTTCCCTAACATATAATGAAGAAACACAACTTTTCGTGTGCACTTTTCATGACTGCTCTGTCTAATAATTAATAAATAAATTTTGTACCCTACTTCCCGGCCTAAGACCTGTTTTAATCCTTCCACTCGGCAACGACGTTATAAGTCGCCAGACGTCGCCAGGATTGAACGCTCGGGAAGGAGGTACAGTACATTAAAGATATGTAATATCGCATTTGAAATTAGAGGGTACATCAAAAATATGGAATAACTTCAAATAATTCATTCAAATGGACAGTTGACAAATAAGCAGTCAAATTCTTTTTCAAATAATGGCAAATTCATAATTCATCCAGTATCTCCAACAAAAAATAAATTCTTCAATCATCAAACTTTTTGTTTATTTTAAATGAAACATACGCCCAGTGAAACTTGTCTTAAAGATCATCGACTTTCCTTTTGTGTATGCTGCATGTTATGTCTACATTCTGAAGGCGATGAATACTACTAGAGAGCTGAATTCGATCTTTTTCGCCCCTCTTGGACAAAAAAGAAAATCTGCATTGGACTACTGATAATAGACGTTAAAAAGTTTTCGATTTGAAACCTCATCCCTTCCGGAAAGCGTAGCATTTTATCGTCAATAAATTGTTCTCACCCTAGCAGTTCTCGTCTTTGCTTTTGGAATTGTGTTCATGGAATTTCAATGCACTTTCATCTATGATGTTGCGGTTTCCAAAATATCTTCTTGGACTAATTCGAACTTTATCACGTATCCTTTGGTACTTTTTTTATAATTCTCATAAAACAATTTCTTGAATTTTTATTGATTAATAAAAAATAAAAAAAGCACTCATGCAAGTAACAAAAATCATAGATTATGATTTAAAATTTTTTCTTCTCATTCTTGATGTTTCAATTGAAACAATTATTTTTTATACATTGATCGTATTTACTGTTGAAATTTTTTTTTCTTGAAATTTTTATTTTCAGAAAATTGATTGTTTTGATTGGCAGAAAACTGTTTCGAGAAATTATTTTCATATTTATTGTTTTATGTGTAACAGTTTCTATGATTTATTGTTTGGTAGAATTTATATTTTTGTTTTACTATAGTGTGTAGGGTTAAGATAAGAATGCCATTAAAAAAAAATTTCTCTTCTTAAATGCAACTACAATAATTATTGATATTGATTTTTGGTATTGATATTGATATATGAATGCAATTGCGGTGTGGTAGAAATTATAAATTAAATCAAGAAATGTTAAAACTAATAATTAGTTTAGAAAATGAATTAATACTTGTAGTTAGAATTTGAAATGAAATGTGAAACCAGACATTAATGCTTGAGTTCAACGTTGGTAATTAGTTCATAGCTCAGTTCTAGCTTAGACATTTCCATAAATAAACAAAGTTTCTTATTGCTGAGAGTGAATCCCAACATGAAGATAAAGTGACCAAACACTAATTGAAAAGTAATAGTAACCAAAAACACTTAAAATAGTTTAAAATAGAAATGAAAATATTAGAATTTCCCAACACACGATTGTGACAAATTAAATTACCAATTAAGATCTTTGCACAAAAATTAGTTCTCTTATTAGAATTCCGCACCCGGTTCACCTGATTGGAAGGCGAACGCTCTGAGCCACCACGGCTCACTATCTTCATATGTGAAAATTCAATAAAAAAGGATTTAGAATTCCCCATCTCCGACAGTTCAGATTGATAGAGAGGCCACTTGAGGCCTAGATTAAAAAATTATTTTGCATTGCTAAAACGATTGCTTACGTATTAAGTAACTCTAGTTGGTTTTTAAAATCAAAAATATGAATGAAAAACAGATCAGAAGGAAATACAATGATTCACCATTACTTAAGCAATGTTTATTCCTTGTTACGAATTTTTGATAAAACTGTCTGAAATTACGTCAGACAAACAAATATTATTTGGATATGATAAAATTCCTTTATTAAGAACAGGAATTCTAGTTTAGATGTTGCTTTTGAATGAACTGAGAAAAAAAAAAGAAGTTACCTATCTCCCTCCAAAGAAAACAGATAACGTTCTTTCTTCGAACGTCGTGATAACTTAATCTTAGTTGTTATGGACACTTCAATTGTTTCCTTTAAAGTTACCATTTGACATTTCTGGAAACATGTTTGAAGCTTATAGTAATGATGTCCTTTGGATTGTTGTTATTGGTTTTCTGGTTGCATTTTTCTTAGCATTTGGAGTTGGTGCTAATGATGTTGCTAATTCGTTTGGAACTTCCGTTGGTTCTAAAGTACTCACTTTAACACAAGCATGCATTTTGGCTACAATATTTGAAATACTTGGCGCTTTGTTAATGGGTGAGTATAAAATAGTGTTAAGATTAATAAATATTATATCCTGGAAGATATGGATTTCCCTAAGAAAGCATCACTGTACAATTTTTTTTTCTGATTTTCTATAACTTAGAATCTTAAAATAAATTTTAGTTAAGTTTTTTACAGAAGATAAATACAAATATTATTTAAATGCAAACACTTGGGTGAAATATTACAAAGAACTTTTATAATTTATTTTACTTTTGAACTAAAATTTGAAGAAAAAAAGATACTTCTGTGAACTGGACTAAATGACTTGAAATAACTTATAAAAAGCAGTCAAATATGTTCTTTTTAAAACCATTTTTAGCTCCAAAAAAATCGAAAAATAAAAAGTATTTTTTAAATTAAAAAAAAATTCATGTTTTGGAATTTCATAAAAAAATTACTTTGACAAATTAAGAAAATAAAATATTTACCAATAATCAAGTATTAGTATTAAATTAAGCAACGTGCTACGCTCATTATAATTACCTAACATTAACTTAATAGTTAACTTCTTAAGTTTAATTTCTTTCCTTAAAAGCATATTCCTATCAAGGCATTTTAAATAAATGCGAGAGAAAAAAAAATTATGTAAATTTCAAAAATAACACATTAGATGCGCAAGATTAAGTAGCCAGATAAAGAGAATAGGAAATTATTTTCCTAGTCTTTGTTTAAGGAAGGAGGATCTTTCTACCAGATTTTCTATTTAGTTTACTATTGTGGGATCAAATTGGCTTTACCAAACCGATTAATAGATTTACAAAATGAATAACTTAATATCGCTTCCAAATTTTATTTATATCATTAGTCTGGGATCACAGGTTTACTTATTCGCGTAGGTTGATTGGTTTATGCAATAAATAACTTTGAAAATCTTTCTGCCACTTTTTATTTATTTTATAAAGTAAGGGTTACATTTACTTCACTGCATGAATTTACATAATAAATTATTTAAAAACAGCACAATTTCCTAGCCACGTAAATCTGTTTCTACCAATGCCAAAAGTTTGTGACATTCCATTTCTTAAGCAACATTTTCATTTGTCTTTGGTTAACCTCTATTTATCAGAATTTTATGAAATTTGCTTTAAGCGGTTATTTTTGCAAGCTAAAGCGAAAGCAATAAAATAAATTTAATACGTTTATTCAGCAGAAGTGCGTTTTTGCTACAAAATAAGCATATTCACACTCGGTTACTGTTAACTGTTACATATAATTTGAGACATTTTATTGTGATATTGCCACAAAACCTTAAAGAATTAAAACCCCATCAACCATTTTAAAGTTATAAGGGGAATCCTTTTTTTCTGATTATGTGTGTTGATATTTTTAGGTACAAACTTGTGAGTATGTAGTCATAGAAATATATACCTTTGTAGCTACTGTCGGTATTTAAAGATTTTTGATGGTCAGAGTCTAAGAAAATAGCCTTACTTCGAAGGTTTTAGAATGGCTTCGATCCACTAAAAGTATTTATGTCTTAATAATCGGTGTGGAAGCTGTAGAACGTAAAATAATGATCAGTGTTGTGGTTCACTCGTTACATGTGGTTTTCTCATAATTCCAGAGGATTTTCATGTTTGCCCCATCCCCCCTCAAAAAAAAAAACTAAGGAAAAAAAATTTCGGAAAAAAATGCGCTTTTAACAATTTCACAAAAAGAACATCTCCTGAAAATTTCAATAAAATCAAATATGTCAATAACTACTAAGATGACCCAACTACCAATCAAAAATGTCAATACTAATAACTACCGAAAAAAGAATTTTTTTTAAAAAAACTGACCCTTACCGTCCATAATTTTTCTTTTTTTAGAAAAAAAATTGTTTTTTTTAAATATTTATGTTATTTCTGAAGCTAGTTTTACAGTTTATATATTTTCTTCAATTTCGATACTTTTATTTAAGAATATTTAAATAATCATGATTATTTTGAATATGATAGGTTTCAAAGTATCTGATACAATACGAAAAGATATATATGATTTGGATATGTATGAAAATGAAGAGAAAGTACTAATGATGGGAAATATGGCTGCTTTATTTGGTAAGTAATGCAAGAAATGGCGTTTATGTTCATTATCGTGAAAAATTTCTCATCAAAATTAAAAATTTTAAGACTATAAGTAATAATTCAATTCAGTATAAGTCGTATTACAGAAAAAATATTTTTTCAAATTCAGAAATGTAAAATTTTAGAAAAATAAAATCACAATAGAAAGAAAATTGTAATGAAACGCCACATTTGAGTATCCCGTAATCTAATGAAAAGTCTTCATATTATATAT